AGGTAGGTAAAATGAGGACCCGGATTGTGGGGGCAATAAGCTGACTTTGTATAAAAAAAGAACACCGCTTAGGGGGCCCCTGAAAGCCCTACTAAGCAGGTATATACAAAAGTATGAAGGCTATTGCTTAACGCATTGTAAGCCGCCCCGAGTCTCCGGAGAAGGGCGGCATATAAATCGAACCAATAAATAAATAAATAAACTGGACTTTCTTGGGTTCCCCCCCCCCCCAAAAAAACATTTCACTTCTCATCCAAGAAGAAAACTGAAGAAGCTTCTTGGATGAGAAACGAAACATTTTCAAGGGGGGGGGGGGAAACCTCCTAAGAATATCCAGTTGCCTTTTGACAACCTTTTACACCTTTGAGTAAATCCCCATTCGGTTTTCATTGGTTTATTCAGTTCTAACCCGTGAATATGCAACCATATTAATAGCACTAATAGCACTCACACTTATATACCCCTCCACAGTACTTTACGGCACTCTCTGAGTGGTTTACAAATGTAAGCCTATTGCCCCCAACAATCTGGCTCCTCATTTTATTGATCTTGTGAGGGTGGAAGGTTGAGTCAACTTTGAGCCTGTTAGGATCGAACTCCTGGCTGTGGGCAGAGTTAGCCTGCAATACTGCATTCCGACCTTCTGACAAGCACAGTCACTGGGGAAGCCAGCGTTACTTAACAACCATGTTATTAATTTAACAACGGCAGTGATTCATTTAACAACTGTGGCAAGGAAGGTCGTAAAAAGGGCCCAAACTTCACTTAACAACTCTCTCACTTAACAATAGCAATAGCACTTAGACTTTTATACTATTCCACAGTGCTTTACAACCCTCTCTAAGCGGTTTACAGAGTCAACCCAACAATCTGGGTCCTCATTTTACTGATCTTGTAAGTATGGAAGGCTGAGTGAATCTCGAGCTGGTCAGCATCGAACTCCTGGCTGTGGGCAGAGTTAGCCTGCAATGCTGCATTCTAACCGCCACCAGCACAAAATTTCTTTGACCTCAAGGCTGCGTGACTCTGAATGCAATCCAATGGAAAATTCCCACTCTGCGTTGCAAGGAATGGAAGCTCATCAAAACATTGATGGGGTTCAGGATGACGATGTGTGGTTGGCTGGAGCTGCCTCTATATCCCTTTCTGACGCTCTTTGGAACACCCACACCTGGCCCTGTTCAGCTTCCAGAGGTCACATCCTGAGCCCTCAACTTGTGCCACTTGGCAACTCTCTTCGCATCGCTTGGCAACCGAGGCCCTATGCAACCCCATGGTAACTTTCTAGCTTTGAATAGAAGCTCATTCGCCAATGTTCTTGCCTCCCTCTGCAATATTTCTAACAATGTCGGAAGGTAATATCGTAACCAGAGCAACAGAGACTGCCCTTGAAAATTTCCATTACGGAAGAGGGGACAATACAGGCGATTGGGGCGACGGGCGGGCTTCAGCTTAGCTAAGAGCACCCCTAGGAGAGGGAAAATTCAGGAACACAGCATTTTCCATTTCATCATCCCATCTTGAGCTGCAGGCTGAAGATGCTGGCAGACGTCTGGTTTTCTTTTCTAATTTCTAACTTTCTCTCTCATTTCCCCCTGCCCAGGGGTGGGATTGAAATATTACAGCAACCGGTTTGCTGACCGGTTGCCGGGTAGGCGTGGCCATTGGGGCGTGGCCTACTCAGCCTCGTTTTTGCCCTCCCCAGGCTCCAGAGGCTTTCCTTGAGCCTCCAGGAGGGCAAAAATAGCCTCCCCCAGGTACCGGAGGTCGGAAACAGACTTGTTTCCGGACTTCCGATAGGCCCGTTTTTCGCCCTCCCAGAGCCTCCACGCAGGCCCTGCACTTACCTGGCATCCAAAACGGGCCGCGTGGAGACTCCTGGGAGGGGCAGGGGGGGCGGGGGGAGCCCGTCCTTGGAATAATCAGTTCAGTGAACCAGATTAAAATTAACATCTGGTTCACCCAAACTGATCCTAACCAGCTGAATCCCACCTCTGCCCCTGCCCTATATATCGAACAAAGTGATCCAAGATCGGAATGCTCTGTATCTGTGGGAGAGACCCGCTCCCTGCTTTGCTTAACCGTGATCTGACTTTGAAGAGGAGCTGAAGAAGCTTCTTGGATGAGAAGTGAAACGTCTTCAAAGAAAAACCAGAAAGTCCAGTTGCCTCTTGAAAAAGCACTTTGGGACACATTTGGAATATTGCATCCAGTTTTGGTCATCACAATGTAAAAAAGGATGTTGAGACTCTAGAAAGAGTGCAGCGAAGAGCAACAAAGATGATCGGGGGACTGGAGGCTATAAAACCTTTGAAGAACGGTTGCAGGAATTGGGTATGTCTGGTTTAATGAAAAGAAGGACTAGGGGTGATATGACAGCAGGGATCCAAGATCTCAAGAAAGAAAAGGGAGTCAAGCTGTTCTCCAAAGCTACCTGAAGGCAGGACAAGAAGCAACGGATGGAAACTAATCAAAGAGAGAACCAACCTAAAACTAAGGAGAAATTTCCTGATAGTTAGAACAATTATTCAGTGGAAACGATTATTCAGAAGTTGTGAGTGCGTCTTGAAAAAGTCCAGTTGCCCCTTGAAAAAGCACCTTTGGGAAAAGGGGATCATGTGACCTTCGGATACAACAACGGTCATAAATATGAACCAGTGGCCAAGCATCAGAATTTTGATCACATGATCATGGGGATGCTGCAAAGGTCGTAACTGTGAGAACAACAGTCACAGTCACATTGTTCAGTGCTGTGGTAACTTAGAATGGTCCCTAAACGGTTGTAAGTCGAGGACTACCTGTATCAGCCCAACTGGGAAGTTGATGAACTATCTTGGAAAAAGGCAAGGTAAAACGTGGTCCATCTTGTTACCTGGAGCTGAGTCCAACCAGGGAACTTCTTTCCCTTTGATGTAGCTTTGCTCCAGTTGATTGCAACGTAGATCTTAGCCAAGTAAGAGACCGTATCTGATTTTATACCGCAACCAGTTCCACAGCGTGGGTGGTTCAAGGAAGCCACCCATGCTTACGCTACACCTGGCCCTCCAATTATATCACAGCTTGCCCACTGAAGATACAGTCCAAAGGTAAGCAATTTATAGTCTTCCAGATGGAGATTGGGTTGCAACTTTGGAGCACAGTGCTTTGTTAAGGGATGTTCTAGATCACTGTCTCTCAGCCTTGGCAACTTTACGATGTGTGGATTTCAACTCCCAAAATTCCTCAACCACCGGACAGAGTTCTGGGAGTTGGAAGTCCACGTGTCCAGTGTCGAGGAAATCAGAAGATCCAGGCAGTTCAAATGGGTGTAAAGGTTTACTGCAAGATTAAGCTCTCTAAGAGAATCTGAACTCCTAACAGTCAAAGGAAATTAGTGGGAGGTAAGAGTAGAAGGAATTCAAGGTGGACTGGACTTAGATCTTTTTGTAAGTGACTCATGACTGATGACACATTTGACCCCCTCCGAGCTCATCCTGGTTGTCTCTTACACCACATATCAATGTTTTCTCAAGGTTGGGAGGCATTGATCTAGAACCAAGCCTTCATTAAACCACAGAGCTGATGCAGTGACATTGACAAATCACCCTTTCTCAGCTCAGTTGAGATAAAAGCAAGAGTTCCCAAAGCAAAGGCAGGCTATGAATACAATGCATTGGCCATGCTGGGGCTATTGGGAGCTTTATCAACTAGACTTGAACCCTACAATTTCCTGGATCAAATGCTAGATTTCATGTTCTTCAAGATAAGATGCCTGTCAACTCGCAAAGCATCCCTGGCCTGCTCTCGAGTTGCCATAGGCAAGGGGGATGGGAAATCGATGAAACAGCATGGCAGCCAAAGACAGATGCACATTCCAGACTTATCTTTCTCAAGGCTGTCTCCCAGGGTTACACACAGCAGCTGGAAGGGAGGGATCTCTACAACCCGTGAAATTGCTCCATTGGCGAATGTGATTGATGATACACCTTGGGGAGGGGGGGTAACAGAGTCATAATTGGGGCATAAATTACATGGGGTCAGAGTTGGCTTCACTTGGGAACATGCCAATATGAAGCTCCTAATAAATAACTGGATCTCTTTTGAAGCTTGGCTCAAGGCTCATGATTTAATTAGGGCATCCGTCTGCAAGCCAACTCTGACCCCATGTAATGGTCACTGTGATGTCCATACACTGGGATAAATGGAATGGAATAGAGCTGAAAGGGACCTTGGAGATCTTCTAGCCTAGCCTCCTGCTCAAGTAGGAGACCCTCTACCATTTCAGACAAGTGGCTGCCCAATCTCTTCTTAAAAACATCCAGTGATGCTTAGTCACATTTTTCTGATGCAGTACAATTTTAATAGTTACCGTATTTTTCAGAATATAAAATGCACCTTTTTCCCCCCTAAAAGGGGGTGAAAATTTAGGTGCATCTTATACACCGTATGTAGCCCCGCCCGCCCACTGGCCCCCATCCTTTGGCCTCTGCCTCCCAGCAGTTTACCTCCTTGCAGCAAGCAGCAAGAAGAAACAGCTCGTTTCAGCTTCAGCACAGCCTAATTAGCACAAGTTGATTGGATCGGCCTCCCGACTCTCAGCTGTTTTGCTCTCATCTGTTTTGCAGGGGCCTCTGCTGCTTGCTGCAAGGAGGTAAATTGCTGGGAGCAGATTTTTTTTTCTTTCTTGTGCTAATCAAGCTATGCTGAAAACGAAAGTGAAAGTAAAGCAGGCTGTTTGCTGTTTGCTGCAACGAGGCATAATTGCTGGGAGGCAGAGGCAGATTTCTTTTTCTTGTTTTCCTCACCAAAAAAGGTAAGTGCGTCTTATCATCCAGAGCGTCTTATACTCCGAAAAATACGGTAGTAGTGCAAGGGTGGGACATTACCATCAATAACTTTGCGACCCTTGGGAATCATTTGCTTTTTGGTAAAAAATGTGATCCCTGGCAAACAAATCGCATTGCCTGGTGTGGATAGCTAAGAATCACGGATCTTCATCCTTGTTCTTCTCTCTTCGACAGGGAGATGTCAACAAACCTGAGTGCCAATGGCTCCTCCCCCCAAGTGCTCGTGGAGGAAAACTCCGTGCAGGACAGCATAAAGGTTATCACAGGGGTGATATTTAGCTTTATCTTCCTGGCTGGTGTGACTGGGAATGGGGTCGTCCTGTGGGTCACCGGGTTGAAGCTGCGATGGACCTCCAACACCGTCTGGTTCTTCAATCTGGCCTTAGCCGACCTAGCGTCCACCTCCCTCATCTTTGTCACGGTACTCAACTTGGCGCTTGACCTGCATTGGCCTTTTGGCTCCGTGGCTTGCAAAGTGGCCAATTGCCTCTTCGGGCTGAGTGTATGCAGCGGCGTGTTGCTCCTGAGCTCCATCAGCGTGGATCGTTGCGTCTTGGTGGTGGCTCCCGTCTGGTGCCAGAACTACCGCACGCCTCGGCTCACCTGGGCAGCTTGCGGATTCCTTTGGCTGCTGTCCTTGGCGTTCTTCGTCCCCAGCTCCTACTTCTTCACCCAGGTCTCCGTGGATAACAACAACCGGAGCTCTTGCAACAACCTGGATATCTTTCAGGACTGGCAACAAGCCGAAGTCCTCACCATTTGCATTTTCCTCTATCAATTCCTCCTCCCCTTGCTGGTGATCTCCATTTCCTACACAATCCTGGTGGTGACCATGACCAAGAAGAAGCTGAACAAATCCAGCAAACCCTTCTTGGTAGTCACCAGGGTAGTCTTCTGTTTTTTCCTCTGTTGGCTCCCTTATCATGCTTTGGCTCTGGCCAGGATCTCGATGGATCGCGTGCCCGAGAGCATGCGGCTGGTGGCCATTCCCCTCTCCAAATGCCTGGCCATGTTCAACAGTTGCATCAACCCCTTGCTTTACGTCTTCGTAGGGCAGGAATTCCAGGATGCCGTCAGGAGATCCTTGCTGCAGGTCTTCAAGACCGCTTTCGAGGAAGCGCCTCTGGGCGCCAACCTCTGAGAGAAGTCAACCAGAAAAGCTGGTCTCTCAGGGTTTCCCTGGCAAAAGAGGGCATTCTCAAACTAGGAGTGGGAGGGACAGAGAGACAAGGACTAAAAACTAGGATGGAAGTGAAAATGATGAGTTAATTAGCGCATTACCTTGGTGTAATGGAAGCATAGAATTGCTGAATGTGCATAACCGGTCCAGCTGTGGATCTCTCCACTTTTATCCATGCTGGCTCCCTCCATTTCCTTACCTGCGTCTACTCAAACTTCAGTCCCCATTGAGCTCAGTGGGGTGGGGGATGGGGGGGTACACTTCAGTGGAAAAGATTGCCGCCTTACTTAAGCTAGTACAGTTCTGCATCCGGTGTGCTGTTTATCGGCTCAACCGCTCCGTTTTTTTTCAACTCGCAGCAGCTTGTGGAGAAGCAATCCTGCTTATAGGTGTTCGGATGCTCTCCTCTCCAAATGTTTTTGGGTCACAGACTCCCTGGGAAAGTGGGGTGGGGGTGGGGCAGGAGAGGAATTAGAGCAATTCCCTACCTCCTCCTCATCATCATCATTTAAAGACCCCATAATCTCTTGCGGGGTAGAGTTTGGGCAACTGAATGGAGCTAGCAGAGTGTTTTTTTAATGGTCAGATGCCCTTCCTGTCGCCAATGTGGAGTTTTGTTCAGCAGATATATTCTCAAGTGTGCCCAGAGAGAGAAATATCTGCCTCTACCTAGGATCGAACTCGCAGCCTCCTGATTGCGAGGCGAGAGCTTCACCTCTAAGCCACCGCACCACTCTGCTGAGCAGTTCCCTACCTCCCCGTCTCAAAAATGTAAATTACTGTAAAGCAAAATCTGCAGGGAAAAAACAAATCCGACTGCTTGGTGTACTTCTGTCATGGCGGTCAGTATAGCTGGACCCCTGGTTACCTTTTCTAGATTATATCCTATTCCAGTATTTCTTAACCTTGGCAATGTGAAGATGAGTGGACTTCAACTCCCAGAATTCATGGCTGGCTAGGGAATTCTGGGTGTTGAAGTCTACTCATCTTCACATCACTAAGGTTGAGAAACACTGTCCTATTTATTCCATGCATTCCTCCTTCCTCCCTTTTCATTTTTCTTATAAAAATACAAATTTTTCGTCAAGTTGAGCCTGGCTCTTGGTGGCATGTATCCATCAAGGCCATTTTCTGGGCATCAGATGGAAATGGTTGGCTGGTGCTTTTACGAGAATTGTTGTCTTTTTACTTCCCAGTCTAGTTAATAACCCCAAGATTCCTATACATAATAGTGCCTCTCATTCTCAGCCACTGTTAAGATGTATGGACTTCAATTTCCAGAACTCCTCAGGAAGGTGGACTTCAACTTCCCGAAGTCCCCAGCCAGCGGGGGGAATTCTGGGAGTTGAAGTCCACACATCTTAAAGTTGCTGAGTTTTTTTTTTAAAAAACACTCATTTAGTGTCATGCCAGAGCTTTGGAACTGTAGTCAGAACACAAGGAATCATTTAAAACAATTTAAATGGTCCCATTTTTAAAAAAAATCTAAGTAAGATAAAGCATTCCTTTTGTGGGGATCCTCCCCCGTGGCACCACTTTTTCCTCTTATGTAGCACATGATAATTTTTCATTTTTTCAAAGCATGCTTCAGGGTTTCTGTGTCTGCACCTACGGGGACTTTTAAAACTACTGATCAATCGCTTGTCAATTAAAATAGGGAGTCTTTGTTTTGCACTACTTGAGTAATTGTTCAGGGGGGAAAAAAAACAAGATATATGCTGTGAGTTATTTTGAAGAAAGTTCTCTGTCTGAGATGAAGGTCTGTGTCCATGACATTATTTAATCAGAAACACGTTTTTTATCTGCTATCAAGGAAAACTTGTTCACCTTCTAAGTTAGCATTCAGATAGGGAAGGAGTCAGCAACTCGCGGCTCTGGAGCCGCATGTGGCTCTTTCATCCCTCTGCTGCGGCTCCCTGTCGCCGGTCAGCTCCACAATTGATAGGGCATTCGGTTAGGACAGGTAGAGGGAAAAGGATGCCGCGCTACGAGGAGACTCTGTGGCGGGGAAACCGGACTTCCGGTCGGCTACAGAATTGAATGGGGGGCTTCCGGTTAGAACCTTTGTGGCTCTTTGAGTGCCGACCCCTGAGATACGGTTACATTCCTGACATGGTCACTACTTTTAAGATAAATTAAGAGGATCCTTGCGTTGCTTTCATCCTTAAAAACTCTTTTGTGTCTTGGTCATATTACTTGCAAAAGCTCTCACTGTTCTCGAAATGTTTTCCATTTGTAAAGATCACCAACAAGAAGCGAACTGTACCCTAGCTACCATTATCCCATTCTTCATAATGTCCCGGGGTGAATAATAGCCACTGATAATTAGCTCACTGAAAAGCAAGAGTGGGCTTTTTCTAAGTGACCATCTAAAGACTTACACCCCCCAAGTCAATTATACTAACCCTTTTTACTTTGTGCAGAGCATGGAGTGAAAGATGGGGGGGGGGGTGCGTTTCTAATTTGCCTCTTGGAGAGAAAAAACACTCATCCCATTACCAAGGTTAAGGTGGCCTGTTCTTGAGGGTAGAGAAACAAGATTGGGAAGGTAAATGTGACCCACCCAATGAAAAGAGAAGAATCTCAATTTTTTGAACCAAACGGAGCAATTTTGGGCCGCCTGGATTTTCAGCTGCAAAGAGGCTTCTAAGACCATTTATGACTCTAGAAAGATGGAGAGCCATCTTTCCAGACTTTTGAAGAATATTTTGTTTTCTGGATAGCTACAGACCTCGCTCTTTCCGTTCAATTTTTGGGGCTGATTTTAAGGGAGACCTAATGTCTCTTACTTCAGATCAAGTTTCCTGACTGGGGGAACAAAATGGAACTTTTACCAGCACGCGTAACTAAAAACCAAAAGTTGGATTGTGCAAGAATTCTAACCAACTAGCAACCAAACTTGGTTAATGGGACAGGATGTCTCAAATGATGGTCTCGTCTCTGTGGAGCGTTTCGGCAAAATGTGGCTAGCAGTGTGTATTTTGCATCAGATGAGGACTCGGGCTTAAAAAACTTGCCTGTTCTTTGGACCCAAGATTGATTGTGGTGCAGGGGGAGGCATAGAAGAGATATCTGCTGCTTAAGATAACAAAATTTAAGAGACGGGGAGTGAATTTAGAGACAGTCAACCCTCTCCTGCCATCATCAAACTCCTACCACGTCTTACATCCTACTGTGCTTGGGGACGGACCCCGTGCATTTTAAGAAAAAGAATGCACATTGCTTTTTAAAAGCTTGTTTTACCCACCACTTTTAACAGCTGAAGTGGCCCAGCATGTAAAGCTTAGTTCTAATCGCAATATGGCTTAGTTATGTTGTCTGAATTCAACCTGTTTGGTTAGCTTACAGCTTGACGTATCAAATGCAGATGTGCTTAGTTACCGAGTTCCGCATAGCCTAGATGTAAAACCAAGTCACTTTTTTGGGGGGGAGAAGGTGTCATCTTGACATTTTTATACTTTTCTCAGCCTAGCTGAGAACACCGCAACATGCCACTTGAAGGTAGAGTTGAGGCTCATTTTACGTGTATCTTAGTCATCATCTGGAATAGGGTATGTCCAACGTTGGCAACTTTTAAGACTTGTGGATTTCAACTCCCAGAATTCCTTTCTGGGACTTGGAAGTCCACAAGGCTTAAAGTTGCCAATGTTGGACACCCCTGAGCTGGAAGACCAGTGGCACCCACTACCAAATGCCTGCCCTGTTACTACAACTGACGTAAGCCCCTGGAGGCAGCCACGAGGCACCAGGCGTTCTATGATGGGCAGGGATAATTTCCCTCTCATCATCTCCATATCGCAGTGCCTCCCCCGGAGAAAAGAGTGAGGAACAACTATCCTCTGATGTAAATTCATCGTCAGAGCCCGTTCTAGAGAGGCACAATGTTCTCTGCAATGCAAAAAAATAAAAAAATCCTTTTGATTAGCCCAGCGGCTGCCAATTGCACAGGATGAACAAAGGACGGTCATTTTAGTAGAATCATCATTCGCAGCTGAATTAAAGAGAAGCAGGACGATCAAAGATGACTAGCATGGCAGTGAAGTTTTCCGAGCGTGGGTAGGAAGCTGCCAGAAAAGCAAAAAAAGGAAAAACTTGTTTCCTTCATTAAAAAAAGGCATCTAAAATCTTATTTATATGATGGACAGCTTGTAGATTAATTTCCCATCTCCAGATACGGGTGGTGATAGTGATAGCCAGATATCTTCTGTGTTTCCCCAAAAATAAGACCGTCTTATATTTTTTTTTGAACCCCGAAACAAGCACTTGGCCTTGTTTTCAGGGAGGTCTTATTGTTTTGGGGCGCGTGGAGCAAGACGGGACTCCTCTTGCCATCTTACCCGATTTCCAGCTCTTTCACCCCAACCAGAGGAAATGAGTAAAACTGGCTATAAATGGCTTAAGGGTGGATGTGGGTTATTTCTCTTGGAAAAATGTCTGCTTGCTTTGAATTATGCTGTTTGTATATTTATAAATAAAGCAAGTGGGATAAAGACATCACAAATCTCCTACTGCCTTCCCATCTAGAAAAACAAAACGAAACAAAAAAACGTGGAATGGGTGGTGGGGACCCGTTTAATATGTCGTTTCTTGAATTAAAAACATCCTCAGGTTTCTGGCTGTTGATCCTTAAACCTTTGTTCCAGGCGTGAAAAACCGGTAGCAGAGATTTTGAGTAGTTCAGAGAACCGGCAAATGCCACCTCTGGCTGGCCCCAGAGTTGGGTGGGAATGGAGATTTTGCAATATCCTTCCCCCAGGAGTGGGGAGGGAATGGGGATTTTGCAGTATCCTGCCCCTGCCACGCCCGCGGAACCGGTAGTAAAAAAAATTTGGATTTCACCACTTTGTTCTCCACGTTCGTCATCAAAGGAACACAAATAAGATTCTGAGCAAACCACAAGTACAAATCAATTCCGGGCAAAATGCTGGAAGATCCATTACATAAAGCACGAGGACTGGTTGGATTCAAGAGCATGTTAAGGATGGCACACTAACTTTCACTGGGAAGCCCCATCCATTAAAAAGAAATTCTATGCCAGTGATGGCAAATCTGCGCTCAAAAACATCGTGCATGGAAAAGCCAAACTTCCGAGTTTTAGTGTCCATGCGTGCCTGACAATCAGCTGGCTGGCACGCATGCACAGGTCAATTTTCAACACTGCTGCACGGGCAAATGAATCGCGCTCCAGAAAAGGCAAACTTCCGGTTTCTGGCGTGCATGCACACCTGACAATCAGCTGGCCGGCACGCATGCGCACACCGGTTTTTGGCACTGCTGCGTGCGCAAAGGATAGCCGATTCTCACGTGCGCATGCGTGCCAGAAACCCGGAAGGCAAACAGGCAAGGCCGCACATGCTGGGCGACATGGCTTCGCGTACCACTTTGGGCATGCGTGCCATAGGTTCGCCATCACGGTTCAATGCCATTTTCTTCATGAGTCAATCCTGC